TAGTTAGAGATATAGCTTTAGCAACACATTTTTATGTATAGTTTACAAAGGTTTAATAAAGCACACTTAACTAACCTGACAGAGGGTTATTAAAAAAAAAAAAAAAAAATTATTACTAATAATTTATTATTATTGATTAACCTAAAAATCAATAAATTGTTAAATTAAAGAAGAAAAAAAAATAACAATTAAGAAAAAAAATCAATTTAAAATTCTTTCAAAAAAGTTTAAAAATAAAATTATTTTTTTTTTTAAAAAATAATTTAATTGGAATTTTTTTTTTATTATTTCAACATTAAACAAATTTCAGTTTTTGTTTATTAAAGCTTTATTATTATTTGAAAATTTTAAAAAATAAATATAAATTTACAATCTATATTATTTATATTATAATTTTTTAATACTATAAATACCATTTTTAAGGAACTTGAGCTTTTGAGATAAATATTTTTTGAAATATTATTTTAATTATCAATTATATTATTAGAATATATAAATATACTTAATAAGAGCTTGTTTATATTTTAAAAAATAATATATTTTATGTTAATTAATTATCTTTAATAAAAATTTATATTATTTAAAATTTAAGATCAAATTGATATAAATAAATTTTTTTAGAAAACTGTAAAAATAAAAATTCTAAAAGAATAAAATAGTTAAAAAAAGAAGAAAACAAGCCTTTTTATTTCAAAAAACTTTTATAAACCTTATACTTTAAAAGTTAAAAAAACTTTTAAATATTTTACAATACTTTTTTCTTAATAATTGAAAATTAAGTTTTTGAATAAAAAGATTTGTAAATAATAAAGAAAAGTAAAGATAACTTTTTGAAATTATATTTAAATTGTTTTAAGAAAAATAATATGAAAACTTTTTGTAAACATCTTTTTTTATATATAATTAAAGGATTAAAAATTATAATAATTATTATTATTATATATAAATTTTGTATATAAGTAGATTAATTCAATATCAAATCTTGATATTGTAAATAATTTTCAATTATATGTTTATTTAGATAAAAATAATATTTTATCAAGTTATAATAGCGAAATTTCAAAAAATTATGATATTTTATGTTATAAAAAAAAAATTTTTTTTTTTTATATGTAATGTATATTTCTTGAAATATAAAGTTTATTTTTTAATTTTAAATCTGCTGTCAGATTAATTATGTATTTTTTATTAAACATAATATAGGTTATACTATTTATAGTATTATGAAAGCTAAAATATTAATTAATTTACTCATCTTAATTTGTTTTCAAACTCTAAATACAACTTAGAAGTGATTTGTCACTCCATTTATAGTTTGGATTAATACCCTTCTACTATAAACATCATTGCCTACAGTTGAAATATAAAGTTTATAATAGTAATAATTAATAATTATTATTATTGTATTTAAAAATATATATATTTTTTTATAATTTTATAATAAATTATATTAAATTATTCCACATAGCCTGACAGCGGGTTTTTATTTAAATTCGTGGATTGTATCACGGCGTAGTTAAAAACCCCAATCACATAATTACATCATATTTTAAAATGAAAACAATTACTATATAAGATCTTAAATTTTTCTATCATTACTTGATCCTCACGAAATATAGAGAAAATATGTCGTAGATCTTTTACTTCAAAATAGAATTTATACCATATGACTTGTCGTTGAAAAGAATTTTTTTTTACCCAATGATTCTACCTACTACAAAAGGTATGTGGTGATGATCAGTCAAACATCCTCCTTTCATCAAACGATATATTAATTATCATTTTGCGGACATTATTGACATAACGGGCTAGTAGAGCTGGTAAAACTAGTATGCTCCAATGTAATAAGGTCAGTTGGGATGTATTCTCTTTCCGAAAAAGGTTGCACACTATGATTGCAATTTTGTCTTTGCAGTAACTCCAAATTCCAGATTTACGTTGTGCCTGTAACGAAGAGTTTTTGAATTACACCAATGTCGCTGTTAATAAGATATCATGAGTTTTTTTAATGGTTAAATACCGTAAATCGGGGTCCTGCTCCTATGAAAAATTCGACTTATCCTTGTTGCAAGTTAAATCTAGCTAACAGCGAAAATTGAGAAAAGGTTCCAACTTTTCTTCTTCACACATGTGAAATATTATTTTATGGTAGAACGGATTGTAATTTATTAATGAAGCCATGAGTTACTCACCAAAGTAACGTAAAAGAACCAAACCAAAAAAAAACCATATACATGTGTATATATATATTTCAAACTCATCCGTTTGAATAACACTCATTTTACCAGCTTTTAATTATCGTGTTTAAACGTTTAAAGTAGAATTCTATCTTTTCTTATTTTTCATTTCAACGGCGGTAGCCCGAGAACAAGCAAGCATAAAGCGATTCTCTTGACGAGTTAAAACATGACCAGCACCACAGTCGGCGGCATATCCGGAATCCCATTTAAATATCACTCCGCTTATGACATGCGATTTCGAAATCTCTCGACCTCGTCTGACTCGGATGATACGTCATTTTTCAAGGAAGACAGCAACGACAATGAATACTTAGAACACTTCTCCAATGATACGATTACTAGTAGAAGTTATGATAACAAAAAGATGAATATGTCATCAAATGGATCTGTTAGGTCACTTGGGTCGTCTAAACTCGAAGGTTATAATAATATAATGCTGAAGATACCATCCAACGAATCCATCAGGTTTCCTAAATCGCCCGCTTCCGAAAACTACAGCGACGACACAATTACCGGTGAAGGCTATAATCATAATAGGCTCCAGAAGAAATCCTATGAGCCCATCGGATTGCCCAGATCACCTAGACTAAATGACTACAGTAGTAGTATAAGTGGTTCCATAACTCCCCGAAGTAATAAAAATATTTTACCGTATCCTCAAAACAGTAAAGCAGATTTCCTGAGTCCTCGAATTGATGGATATGGATATCAACCCTATCAACCTCCATCCCCAATGTTATATCCCGAGAAACATAATGAGAAGTCTTTTCCATCGACCCCTATCAAAAGTCGATATGACTACTTCGAAAGTCAAGAGAAACCTTCATCCCCAAACAAAAAAGAAAAGAGATCTTTCTCTCTCGGGAAATCATTTACATCTTTTGTCATGAACACAAGATTCAGGTCACTCAACAAGAAACCTGCTTCTTTAAAACATACTTCTTTAAAACGTACTTCCCTAAAATCTGCATTTCCAGATGCCCAACAGAATACACCCCAAATTGTTTATGAGATTTCTGAAGCACCACTACCCACAATAACACCAATTTCGCCGATGTCCCACCAGTTACCGAAAGATTATTTTTCCGAAGACTGTGCTAATGATGAGGATAATCGGTCAGAGGATATTGATGCAACTGCCTTGACGATAGATGAATTGCACAAGATGGTGTTGAACCTACGAAAAGGATTCTGTCAGCTAAGGGACGAAGTTAAAGATTTAAAGCTAGAGATCAAAATATTGAGAGGGGAAGAGAGAAGAATGGAAGACAAGGTGGACGGTAGTGGATGGTTATAAGCTTCATCACGAGTGATAATGGTACCTATATGATCCTTTTTTTTTTTTTTTCAATATGTAACATTTAGATTGCATTAATTTAATATATTACGTGGAGTGGTGACATTATGTGAATCAAATATGACAAAACAGTTTTTAATCGATTCAATGAACTTTGATCAATTGATTTTAACCGGATCAAAAAAATTTTGATCGATCAATCAATCACTCCCTCACGGACTGATTCCATACACTGAACATCATTATCGCTTCAAATATTTATACAACTGTGATTTCCTTTTCTAATGCTCTCTTTCACGATCCAATATAAACGACCAAATAAAATGCAAATAATTTAATTTAAAAAAAATTCCAGAGCCATATGTAAACAAGTCTCGTCTCGACTCGCTTCTCTTACAACATTTTCCTGATTTAAGTCGGAAAAATGTGGATTAAAATAGTTATGCAACATGGGATACTCCTTTTCATCCTTTTAATATTCACTTTCCTAAATATTGCTTATTTTCCAACAACCATCGTCGCCACGGAACCTCCCTACGATCCCTTCCTTAAAGATCGTTCCCCGAAACTTAACATTCCAAATCTTCATCAAAACGGAGACACCTCAAATTCACCATCACCAACATCAGATGCTTCGTTGGATCATCAAAAAAACGTTATGACTGAGGTGTCCACCAAGATAACAACGGTAGTGTATTCGACAGTTTATGGAATTAAGCCAACGAATAAGGGAAAGCCCTCGATGGGAGAGAAATCATCGGGTTGCAAGGGAGTAAGGAACGGAGGTGGAAAAGAGGGATTGGGGATTTTGGCGAGCGCGATAGTCGGAATGATTATCATTTTTCTGAAACAGTTGAACATCGAGGCAGGAAACCAATAATGTTGTCTGAATTTTATTGAATGATGACTTTGATCACCATAATTTATAAATAAAATATTTATGCGTGTTCAATTCAGATCATTCCTGATCATATGGTTTTCTTTTTCCATCTTTTTCTTTAATTATTACATCTTGAATCATGTACACAGCTATCACCTAATTCAAAGGTACACTATTGCTTTCCCAAAATTTTCCATTATTACTGAATTCCTTTGCCCATCTTTCTAAACTTTCGCAATTTCTCTGTCCACGATGTGCCTCTGAGTCAAGGAAACTCGGCGTAACATAAACATATTCCAATTTCGTCCAAGCGTTCAACAACAAGGGTTCGACCAATTCCGACGTGACACAAAAACAATCATGAAATGTCAGCGATTCCAAATTCTCACACTGCGCTATGAAAGAGAGCGGGGGAAAATTTCGAAAGAATACTTGACAAAGGTAGATGCTTCGAAGTGAATGAGATTGTGTGGGAAGTGAAAATAGAAAGTCTGGGGGACCACCCGAGTAATTGATTAAAACAAAAGAACGGAGAGCGGTTTGAGATCTGATCAAAGAAGACAGATTGTGCCGCTTGAGGGCACTAAATATGTAGTATCCCGGTGACGTGAATCTGATGGTAAAGTCCAATGTCATGTGTTCCTAATAAATAAATAAATAAATAAAATAAAATAAAACGATCGATCCAATCATGCTTTTCCCGATAATGATGATAATACAAACCACATTTTTACAAATCCAAGAAATCTTTTCTGCCAGTCCTACCGATTCAATCGCATCCCTTCCCAACCATAATTTCTTAACCCCGCAAAATAGCGGCTTAAACCTATCTTCGCATATAAAATTCAAACCCAACCGTTCTAATTTTTCACAATAATCGGGAAATGCATTTCTATCCACGAATTTCATCTCAAATGTCTCCAATCGGGCACCGCTCTCCGCGAACAACTCTAATAACAACCTCACTACCAGATCATGATGCTGACTGGCATTATGCTCGTGACACCAATCAAAGACATCCCTCAGGAAAATTTCGAATCGAAGGTTTCTTAGAAATACTGGATAATTAAAAATTGGTGGCGTCGAAGGGATAGCGGGAAGTTGGACCCCGGCACACCTGAGAACCTCAAGTTTCGGGGGCGAGAGACATGAAATATATTTATCGATGGCACCATTGCGAACCGGTGAATGAGATGTGAACACAGAAGACCAGATATAAGAGATTACACTTCTACACCAAAGTCGGTTTACCATTAAACACGAAAATAAATTGCGATACTGCTCATGAGGTTTAGAATTGGGTCGAGAGTTGTAGATTTCTTGAAATATTGGACCGAGAATCTCTGGAGGTAGTCTCGACGCCATGGTTTCATCTGGCGGACTTTCAACTTTGAATTACGAAAATCTATGGTTTTGTTCAGAATGGTGAATTTTTATATTACCACCTCTTATTCACAAATGCCAATAACTAAGCCTATATTTGCGCAGTAATTGCAAAGTCTTGGTTCCAATTTAAATTCATGTCTGCCAAGAGCATGCGACACTGATTGGTACTTTTAAAGGAATTAGTGCAACACCTGAGAGCTCTCATGGGTCACTGTGGTATCCTTCCTTTAATTTCAATCCTTTTATATCACAATTTTGAAATAGGGTTTGTACTTTTATGGAAATCCATTTTCGTCATATGGGACTAATTCTTATATTTACAGTATATAATTATATTTATATGATTATATTTATATGATTAGATTTGTATGATTAGATTTGTATTAATAATAAATAATAATATAAACAGCAAAAAAAAATTCTTTTCACTGATCCTCTGCTCACACACAAAAAAGATGTTTGCAAGAAATTTTTTATTTCTTTGCTAATAAAGTCTTAACACTATCCTTAAACCAACTTAAAGTTTTACTTTAAGAGATATTCCCAAACACTTTCTCTTGTTTATATTCATTTTCAAACAAAAACTTGGTTTCCTGTGACCTAGAAAAGTCAAGAAACATCTTCTCTACCTATGGCAAGAAAGTTTTGAAAGGAAGAAGAACCAATAGTGTAATACTTGAAGCATGTCTATAGAGGTTTTCTGCAATGGGAGGCAACAAACATTAAGCCATATTTCAAAGTGTCTGCCCACTGTTTCTTCCCTCTTATAGTCATCCCAAAAAATTTTTTTTTGGTTTTCTAAGAAATTTTGTCTACCTCAGTCTGATCCTGAATTTTAGGTGATACAATTTATTGCACAATATGATTGGTGGATATGAAACACGTTAATAGCTGAATGTAAACAAGCTCCTATTGGTCACTTCACATGTTCTGATAATGTTATTGGTGATTGAAAGAGAAAATTAAGGTTACGAACTCTTTCATTCCTCTAAATGAAGTTTAACTGAAACAAAGAAATCATGAGGCCATTAGGATGGGTACTAAATTTCCTAGTGGTAAAAAGGTGATTATTTGTTCAAACTAAGGCCTTCAACTTCTTATCATTCCAGTTAGGCAAAATACGCGAAGGAGATTATCTCCTTATCCTGGTCAGGCTGTAAAACTGAAAAGTAGAGGAATGTAAAACACTGCTCTTTTCTAGAATTGAGAATACATTTCTCCAGACGTTGTGTAATGATATCGTAATCAACAAGGATTCCTATACTTTGTAGACCCTCTCACTATTACAAGGCAAAAATATTGTTGGGGAATCTAACTTTTTGGATAATGGAAAATATACATCAGTAAAATTCCTTTAACTAGACATGGCTGCTGGAAGATATTGGGAGTTACACAACAAGACTGAAAAGCCACATGAGAACCTGGAGTCCACCATTAGCTGTTCTGTTCTACGTGGATAGATATAAAATCAAGACTGAAAGAAAGGAAGCATTGAACAAGACATTGGATTCAAGTAGACGATAAGTACCTGAGACAGTTATAGAAAATAATTAAGAGTACGGATTAATAAGTTTCTCAGACAGTCAGGAAGAAGAAGAATATTCCAGAAGAGTTGATTCCTAATAAGAAGAGGTTTTTAGCCAAGGTCCTTTGAAAAATATGAAGTAATTTTAAATTTCTTTTTTCTTTTTTCATTTTCATATAGTACATTTATATATTTTTAAATACTCCCCTTTCTCTTTATTTTTTTCTTTCCCCTTTTGTATTTCTCGAATTTAGTTCCTTGGAGAATAATAAGCAGTGAAAATTTGCTGGCAATGATAGGTAAGTTAGAAGGATCTTTACCCAAAACTTAATTTAGAGAGAAATATTGTTTCCAAGGTTGCACTTAAAGGCTGAAACTCTTTGAAAATTGAAAGCCATTGACAAGTATATCAATACAAGATTTTAGTTTAGCTATAGTACAATTGTCCTATGTATCTCAATCAGTTTTCTTAATGATTAATAAACACACAATACTGGCCTGACCATGGGTATTAAAAAATAATAATAATAATAATAAATAATAATATATCATATACAGTATATTATGTATATACGGTAGCTTACAAAAGTTTGGGATCATCTGATAGTATTTTTATAATTTTTCTAATTTAATCATTTTTTATTTTCCTCCTTTTTCTCATGAAAATTCCACAAAATTTATCATGTATTCCTTTAGTTCAAAATTTCTTTCTCTAATTTTTTCAATGGTGATTATTAATACAATTCCTTCCTTAAAATTAATTGAAGGTCTGTTATTCGATTAGTGATCATCATTTTCTTTTCTGATCACATGATCAAGATTCTCATTGATACTCCATAAATTTTTCTGGATAATATCGTTCCCATTCATTCTTTTGTTCCTGTATTTTTCCAAATATTAATTTCCTATTTTCCAAGATTTCCTTAAATTCTTTGATGATTTCAGGATACCCCAGTAATCATATATCTTCGTTATTTCCTTAATCCCTTCTTTGCAAATTTGTTCCACCATGACTATTTGAATTATTTCCGAGCTGTCTTCAGTTATTTTATATGTAGCTTCTATCTGACCTAGATTCCCTTTAATCAATCTTTTTAGTTCTTTGATCATTTCAAAGTATCTTTCAGTATATACAAATGGTTTTAACAAATCGTATAGTTCTTTACTGGTTCCCATCATTTTTAAGGCTGATTCATATTGCCTTTTTCAACTATCATATGGTTCAATAATAATCCATTCTTTATCCAATTCTTCGTGTAGTTGTTCCTTAGTAACTGATTTTTTTGATGACCATTTTATCCAGATGACCAATCCAACCTTTTTTGAGTCTGCGTCGTCCTCATTAATATATTCCTTATCTTCCTCTTCAATGTCAAAGAATAGATGTAATTTTCCCTTTTTCTTAAGCATTCCTTCTAATCCAACATCATTTTATTTGACATGTTTCTTTAATTTTCTTGCTGAAAGTTCCCAATTATTAATTCTCCTTCTTAGATCCCCAATGATTTGCTGGGAAATTTCATTGTTTGGTTGATTTGTTGTCATAACTGATTTCTTATTATTATTTTTGTATAATTAGGTTCAGTCAAGGGATATTTATATCTTCTTCAATAATTTCTGTTTCAAACACATTCATCATTACTTGTGCTAGTATATTCTTTTCCCAATCTTCTATTTTTTCATAAATTTTTTTCACAAATTCCTCTGTTGTCTTCCTATACCTGATGTATCCAGTCTCTTTATTTTTGCAGTGAATGTAATAGAGTCTACAAGTGATTTCAAGGTTCTCATCTGCTTCTTCCAATTGTTTAAATATTAGGTGTGATATGGTTTTTTCCCCAGCTATGAATATTCTGTGGTCAATGTATAACTCCTCAATTTGGTCTATTCCCATTTCACCATATTGCCCTATGAGTTTTTTGCCACATTCTTCACAGCATTCCCCTTCTAGTTCTGTTAAATCCTTTTCTAATCTAATTTTTTCATAGTAATAATTGTATAAGGTCTCAGGGAATCCATATATGCTGAAAAGTTCTTTGAATATTTTGAATGTGATTATTTTAACTATTCTTTTATTCTCCCAGAATCCTGAAATAAACAATCTTTCTGCTTCATATATATTTGTTGTCAGTTCCTCCAAGAAATCAATATGGATGTGAGATAGTTTCAGAATATAGTTTTCATCATAAATATATGGTGAGAGTGCTATGTAAAATCTCTTGTCCATCCACATGAGATCCAATAATGCTGCATATTGTAATCTTCAACTTTCAAAGGATTCAAGCACAATCCAATCATCATTCAAGTATTTTGTCAATAATTCCTCTGTTGTCAATCCATCCTGGCTGCCATTTCTTTCAATCTTTACTTTCACTTGGTTGTTAATTATGGATTTTCTATATATTGGATTCTCATAATGAATTTTAAAGATAGAGTTTGCCTTTGTTTTCAAATTCAGAAAGTCAAAGAAGATCATGTCATCTATGATCTATCTTTTTGTTTTACTAATTAATTCCCTTAACTTTTCATTATGCATTAATAAGAGCTCAACCTCAATGGCCTCAAGTCCCCTAGTGTATTCGAGTATTTCTAAAATTTTCTCAGTCATTTCAAAAAAATAGACTGATCTTCTTCTGTTACTTCCATCTATTTATAATTTTTTATTTATCCTATTCCAATATCTTTTGAATTTCTGTGATTACTTTTGATTTTCTTTCACATTTATCTGTCCCTTGATTCTCCATAGCCTAGTATATTCTCTAACCTCATGTTCAAAAATGCACATATTTCCTAGGATATTTTCTATAATAGTATCTCTTTGTTTTTCAGAAATTATCCTGTAAATGTTTAATTTATGTCCAGTTATTCTTAAGGTATATCTTCTCTTATCATCTTCTTCAATTGTCAATATAATTTCATCATAACCATCTGGTTCAAAATATTGTCTTTCAATGTTATTCCAAGTAGGTTTTCCCATTCCTGATGTTCTTCTTTTATTTCTTCAATAATTTTCTTTTAGTCTTTTCATGGTCTTTTATATAATTTTTAAAGGTTTCATTAATATAATATCCCTTGTCTGTCTGTTCACAATATACCCATATCCTATATCCTGCCGGTATGTTTTTTACAGAGAAGTTAACCTTTTCTTCTGGGTGTATTATCAAGTATTCCTTATATACATAATACACTTCTTTTGTTACCCATGAACTAGCAAGTATGCTTTCTTCCTGGAGTTTTGTTCTACATTTATTACATCTCATCCCAGACAATCCTTTAAAGATCTATATCAGATACATCTTTCTCTCGTATAATTCCTGGGTTACCAGAGGAAATCCATAATGAGATATGATATCTTCTATATATTTTAATTCTGTTATGTTGGCCAGCCTTTCTCTTCCCAGATCTCTTGGTAGACGGGGTTCTTCCCAAAGTTCTATGAATGCCCAGTCATGAG